TCCTCAGTCTAGCCACAATTTAAGGAAAAAAATTTAAAAGTAAGTTCATGTGTATGACTATAAACCCACGACTTAAGTTGAAATGAATGATATATATAAAACATATGAAAAAACCTATGAACAAAAACCTGTGATATAGGTAGGCTATGAACAAAAACTTGTAATATAAGCAATGAACAAAAACCTATGGTATAGGTAGATAAATACTTTTAATTTGAATTAGAATATCAAGAACTAATGTGTGTGTGCACTATTAATCCATGGTATAAGGTAGATAGAACAAGATAACCTACGATACAGGTAGATAAACACAATTAACTTGAGACAAATTATCAATAATGTGTGATAGGTAGATAATACAATTTATCCATGACACAGGTAGTATAAAACACACAGAGGTAGATAAGAAAAAAGATGTGATATATATACCAAGAAGATCCATAGAAAATGATGAATAAAAAGATGATGCTGAGGGAGTAAAACACGAAGAGGTTTAGAATAGAAAAAAAAAAAGAACAGAGAAACATGAAAAAAAAAAAAAATTAAAGCATACAAGATTGGCTAAATTCTACAAATCAAACCAACAATAGAAATTTGAGGTTGGACATCTTTGATCATCTACGCTTGGGAGCAGGGAGGAGGGAAAAAAAGAAGATATCGTGAGGGATGAGAAGGAAACATCGTGAGGGAGAAAGAGAAGGAAGAATAGGAAACGTTTTAAAGAGAATTAAATTCCTATACTTAATCCGATCATTAAGCATAAGATAATCCTATGAATAAGGATTAAAAATCATCATAAATATAAAAAAAAATTAATAATATATTAATTACTTAATTAGTCAATTTAGGGATAAATTTGGCAAGAGAATAAAAATAAGTTGATGTGTACAATGAGCCATTGGACCTAAGTCAATAATCAAGCAAAATTGGACTATACCTCATAAAGGCTCACAAAATTGGACTCATGTCAAATTTTCCCTTATTAAAATCACTTTTTAATTTATCAAACACTCAACAACTTTATTTTACAACTGTTTATTCTCGTAGCATAGCAGAAACAATTTTTTGAAAAAGCACAGCAATACCAAACTAGCCCTTAATAGCATGGTAGACCCTGCTTTTGCTTTTCTATATTTTTCTACTGTCATTGATAGTAGTTTTTAAAAAAAACACTTTTTTTTTTTTTTGCCAAACATGTTTGATGTTCTAGATTTTTTAATAAACTGCTTTTTAAAAAGCACTACAATCCAAAATCAACCCTAAAAGTAGAGTTTGGGTGGAAAATTTGCAAAAATATTTCTTAGTATTTACGCACATTCTTAATAGTCTAGCTGGTGTTTGTGCAAATATCGCAGATATTTTTATTCTTTAATTTAAGGAACAAAAACACACATAAAGGTCATAAAATTCCTGGAGTAGAAACTAAGGGCTTGTTTGGTACCCTACTTGAATTCAACTTTTTAAACTTAAAAACAATTTTTAAGTTTTAAGCCTTAAAAACTTGTTTGGTATGACTTTTAAAAAACTGAACTCAAAACTAACTCAAAAATATAGTCTATTATCCAAAAACATAAGAAATGAGTTTTTAAACTTAAACTTACTCTTTTCTTTTCTCTCTTTTATCCCCTCTCACTCCAAATCTGTCTTTCTTTTCTTCTTTCTCTCCTCTTTTTTTTTTTTTTTTTTTAACCTTTTTCATCTCCTCCAATTTGCTCTTTTCATTCTCTCGATTTTTTCTCTCACTCATTTTCCTCTTTGTTTCGTCCGATCCTCTCTCTTCTTTCTCTTTCCTTCAATCATCTCTTACTTTCTTTTCTCCTCTCTCCTCTTTCTCCCTCTCTTTTTAGATCTCTTTGTCTAGTTTAAGTCATAAGATTTAAAAAATTTAAATCGCAAACCAATCAAGTTTTTGAGTCTTTAAGAAAATTGTTTTAAAAAAATGTTCTTAAGAAATGTTTTGAGAAATGATAAAAAAATTTCAAATAGGATACCAAAGAGGCGCTAAAATATTTCATTCATATGGATGTACCTTCTTCTACCTTACAACACAAATATATCAAACAAGGCATTACATCCCATGTCCCTTACACCAATTACTTGTTGAACTACATTTCGACAAATATATCAAACGGAACAAAAAATATATATAGGTAAGACTAACAAGTTCAATGGATGACTTTTTTTTTATAAGATGGAACTGAGAAGGAGATCAGTAAGTCATAAGGGGTGACCCGCTACAATGGACATCAGAAGCGTCGGAGATCCTTTGTTTCGGAGATAATGTCGTCATGGCAGCAGCATCGACGTCCAGATTCAGATAAGTTTTCCTCTTTTGCGTCTCTGAACTCGCCTTCTCATCTGAAGCTTCAGCAATTGGACTCAAGGGCTCCACTTCCTTTTGGGGGGCAGACAGCATGGCTTGAGCTTCTGCCACCACCGATGCATTATCATCGGTAGCATATAGAATCTTCTGTATAGCAGCAACAACCTGCGTAAGGAATAAAAACCATTAATTTCCACTGCCTATCAGTCATAGAAAAGTTTCCGGTAATTCTGATGAGACATCCAAAAAAAATCAAAACAGAAGAGTGAAAGTACAGTACAGTTAGGTTTTCAATCTCAGGACTCTGGCAGAGTATCTCAATATCCCTGAGCTTCGCAAAGTAGAAGTCCCTCTCCTTCTCAAGGCTATCCACCGATAGCTTCAACTCCGTGATCTGCATTCAAATTAGTATTAGACCATCTAACATTCATTGATTGAATTCTCACTCATACTCAGACTAAAAGCACCACCTGTTCATCATACGCAGGGGTTGTAGGGCCTCCACTAGAAGAAGGCCTCGAGGTCTTCCCTGATTGACTAGCGGAGTTCACAGAAGGTGCTACATCATTTCTTCGAGCAGTGTGGGAGGACTGAGATCTTTGGGGAGCTGCTGCACCCTTAGCTGATGATTGCAATTGGGCACCTCTCTTGTTTCCTTCTTTCCCTCCCTTGCAAGCTTCTCTCCTCTCCGGAGCGTTGTAACTAACAGTGACAATAAAAGGCATATCATTTATATGCAAAATTTTCCCTTAGTTACTGCTAACGAACAAACAACTTTGTTCTTTCTTTCAAATATGCAGGCCCCAAAGGAACTTAACTTGTCATTGACGAGTGCAGACTTGAGTACGAATATATCGTCATAATATGCAGAGCATAGCGGAGAAAATAAAGGTCCAAGGTGCTAAACAAGAGAAGGCAAGTCCAAGGTACTAACCAAACCGAAAGCAAACACTTGGGAGAGAGCATAGATACTAAGTATAGGATTCGAATTTTGATTTTGATTTTCAACAACAGCAGGAAATTGAATCAAAATGAAGTTTCGCAAGAATTCGAGTTCTACATTCAAATATGGATGAAGTCCATTTGATTCAAACATATACAGCATGCCTCAACAGAATTACAAACACTTGATAGTTCAACTTGCAACAAAATGTAACACCCAGATAACATCATAATAGCGATATCATTAGCATAAACAGTTATTGAATGGAAGGGAATTCTTATACAACGTACACAATTATGGCTAGAGCTTACTTGTTCATACTGCCTCCATTGACAGAATCGCAGTACCGCTTCATCCATTGCATGAACTCCAGATTATCGAGCGGCCTTCCCTTCACAAGCTTGCTCACTTCAATGTGCTAAAAACGCCCAACACACACAAAGAAAACAAAAATGGTAAACACATAGCATAAATTCAAGAAAAAATGAAGATCAAATCTACTCCAATTATATTTAATAAATTACAAGGAAGAAAGCAAAGAAAATTGAACCTTGGTGATTTTGAGTTTGTTGAAAACGTCCTGAAGGACCTTGTAGTTCTGAATCATCTCGTACTCGCTCTTGGCATCAAAATTGACCTTGTGCATCGGCACGATACCGTTATGAACGGCATCCATGAGTTGGCAGTGAACGGCACCGGAACACGCCTGAAAAATGCAGATTAGAAATCGATGGGCGAAATCGAATCGTAAGAGAGTAAATTCGAAGTGGAAAAGGTTGGGGTTTAGGGTTTGGAGAAAGTACCTCTTCAACTTTGCTGAGATGGAGATGGAGAGTTGAGTTGATCCAGGCCAAGATCTCGGTCCTGCCTACGAAGTAAGCGCCGTCCATCATACCAATATTCGTCGCCATTGGAGATTGTGGTAAGGTCTCTGCGTCCCTGTAGAGAGAGAGAGAGAGAGAGAGAGAGAGAGAGAGAGAGAGAGAGAGGAATTTAAAACTGGAGGAGTTTCGGGGAGCGGGATCTTTTCAATATAAATTCAAGTGGCTTTCGGACCGAACCATTTGTCTGGAGATTTGGATATCTGGGCTTCTAACCCGCTTTGTGGAAGCCCAATATTCAGGCTGCTTCTTGCAAGTGCATTTGTGATTTTTTTATTTTTTATCAAACGATGTCAGAAGCACATTGGTGGAATGACTTAGTTGAGACATTTGCAATAAGAGAATTGATTTTCGTACCATCTTTTGACCTTTTGCACTCATACGTTTAAATACAAGGCACCCCCATTTGCAAAAAGTAAAAAACGGAGTGCCTTGTATTAACTTTTGAGGTACAAATACTCTAATTTGGGTCCACATAGATAATAGATACTAATATGAGTTTGATACACGAGATGCATGTATATATTGGGGGATGATATGGATACTTGAATACGAGGTGGATACTCACGACGACGAATGGGAATGTAAGGAATAAAATAAAATTTGTCTATCAGACTGTAAAGACGAGGTGCAGTAGGTTGCACACAACGATGTTAGAATTTTTTAAGATCTCTTACATTTTTGTAGTACTAATAACAATTAAATTGATTGAATTTATAAGCTGATCGATGATACAAAAGTATCTATCATTAAAGTCACCATCATAAACTGATAGCTCAAATCTTTGTCATAAAATGACATGCATCTGCATCATTGACACATTGGCATATAAATTATTAAAATATTTAGTCAATTGGCCAACAATTTCAAGGTGCATCTTATTGACTAATGAAGATTAATTATTAGCTAATCAACACTTAAACTTACTACAAGCACCAATCCAATAATCTCAAAAACAGATGGATTCATACTGAAAAATAAAATAAAATAAAACAAAAAATTATTGGTCAATCATACATACATCTCTCTCTACAACTTAAGGGGCACAATAATATGATGATGAAGGAGAAGATGGGAATTTCCCCAGGACTTGTAGGGCTTCTTTCATTGTTGGTCTCTTTTGTGGGACAGGCGACGCACAATTGTACCCTAACTTGAACAAGGACAACAAGGCCTCCTCTTTGCCCTCCAATTCACCTCTAATTGCCATATCTGCCATCCTTAAGGCCTTGCAGCTATCATCCACTCCAAGCCCTGCCTCATCCACAACCACAACTTTCCCGGTTAGCAGCTCAAGCAATATCACCCCAAATGAGTACACATCCCACTTTGGGTTGGGCTTTAGGCTCCGAAGTGACTCAGGGCAATGATAAGGCGATGTGCCCATGGAGCTAGGGCTCGGACTTGGACCTGGACTAGGTCCTAGTCCAAAGTCCTGAAAGCCATCCCGCGAAGTCATTGATCTCTTGCTTCCAAAATTTCTTGTCGAGCTACCCATTTTGTAACTTGTGTCGCCGGACAAAAGTCTCTCGAGTCCAAAATCACCAATCCGGGGCTCCATGTCTGCGTCTAGGAGAATGTTGGTAGGCTTGAGGTTCCCATGGACGTGCTTCTTCTCGTGGAGGTACGCGAGCCCACGGGCAACCCCTTTCGCTATCTTGAGCCTCGCTTCCCACGGTAGATGACAAGGCGATGAGCCCACCTTCCCTGAAATTTTTAGGACACAATTAGTACCAAATTTGGAAAAAAATCTCACTCACATTGTCACTTATTAGACAAAATTTAGAGACAGGTGACAGAAACAAAACAATAGTGTGACCATAGAAGCAAACAAGTGGCTGTATTATCATGTAAGTTGAATTATTGTGTGTGACCATCGCTATCGCAAGACTTGTGGGGTACGTAACGGTTGACCTGAAGCGTTAACAAATGTTCAATTTGACCTACTTCACCGTCGACGAGAAGTATTTTAGTGTGACCACCACACCGTCACAGTCGGTTTTCAGAGCATGTTAGCAAAACCCGATACAATTGCACTAACATGCGCATACACAAATACCAGAGGAAAAACAGAGAGGGACAGAGAGAACTCACTGTAACGAGCGTTTGCGAGGCTGCCATTTGGGACGAAATCATAGATGATGAGCTTCTCATCAACCCCCCAATAGAATCCACGAATTCGAACCAGGTTCGGGTGAACCAATTTGGCCACGAGCTTGATTTGGTTCTCGAAATCCTTGAACCGGTCCACACTCTGCTCCCCGATCCTCCGAACTGCCAACAAGCTTCCGTCTTCGAGCACTGCCTTGTACATTATGCTCGAACCGGTGGCGCCCAGAATGTACGCCGAGGCTTTGAGCAGTGTCTCCAGTTCTAGCTCCTTTTCGCCATCGACGGTGACCAAGGTCCCGCCTTTGCTCTTCTCCTGCTCTTGCTGCCGTTTGATTTCGTGACTCTTTTGGGGATTCTGCTCCGTCTGATGTTCTTCGGAGTCGGAGGCTGTCGTGTCGGAGCTGTCTTCGTCTTCGCCTCGCTTTCTCAAGCACGACCATCTGGTGAACCCTTTCGATTCTGACGAGGAAGACGACCAGTCGTTGACTACCGGCGTTGAATTCGTATTAGCTTCTTTCTTCAGCGTTGCTGTGATCTCGGCCTTGGTTCTCTTCTTCTTCTTCAATCTGTAAATGTACAGGAAAATCAGCACTAGGATTCCGATTCCGGCTATGTCGCCGGCTACAATTCCGACAATGGCGGCCGGTCTGAGCCCGGTCTGGCTCTGCTGTGAATGCTCATTTGCAGACATCGGCGAAACGGCTTCTGGGTTCCTGGGAATTGCAGCAATTGCCGGAGGAGAATTCGGAGACGAAGCATTGGGTGAAGAGGAAGGAGAGGAAGGAGAAAAAGGAATCGGACATGGGTTCTTGGTCGGTGGGCCACACAGATCAGGATTGCCGGTAAAAGACCCAGTTTCTTGGTTCAAGAACACCTGAGATTCCGGGAGTTCACCGGTGAGATTGTTGACAGATAGGTCGGTTTTGGCGTCACCTGGAATTCTCTCAGAAAATTGCGGTGGGATTTTCCCGGAAATTCCGTTGTGGGAGACGTTTAAGTAACTCAGACTGTTGCCGCCGAAATCAGACGGCAGGGAGCCGTTGATCAGATTCGAAGACAGATCCAAAACCTGAACGGATTCGAACCCGCTGGGAAGGCCGCCGGAGAAATGATTATTCTTCAAAGAAATGATCGTTAGAGAGGGCAGTGAGGACAGATTGATGGGCAATTTTCCCGCCAAGGCATTGTCGGAGAGGTTGAGACTCTGGAGGTTGGTGAGCTGCGACACCGCGTCAGGCAACTCGCCGGAGATTAAATTGTACGACAAATCAAGAACCCGAAGCTTCGTGGCGTTGAAGAGCGACTGTGGGAGCGACCCGTTGAGGGAATTGTTGGAAAGATCGAGACTTTGAAGGTGTTCGATCATGCCAAGGTTGGCAGGGATGGAACCCAGAAGCTGAGAGTTGGGAAGATTCAAACCTACGACTCTTGGGTAGTTTTCCGACGATAGTGTTGGCGGCGCCGCGCAAACGACGCCTCTCCATGAACACGGCGTCTCGTCGTACGAATTCCAGGTTGCAAGAACGGACTGAGGGTCTCGGAGGATAGAGAACTTGAAAGAAAGTAAGATAAGTCCATCTCTGTCGAGAGCAGAAGATTGGACCGAGAGAAGAAGAAGAAGAAAGCATGGTAAAAAATGGAGGCTTTGGGAGCTCATGATGTTTCTGCACTGGAATCCCACATTTCTCTCTCTAGAAAACACAGATAGATAGAGTATAGAGAGAGAAAGAGAGAGGAGCGAGATTTAATAATTTATGGGAAAAGTGAGGCCATGTGAGAGGGAGGAGTTGTTAAATATTATGGGGAAAAAGTGGGTGTTGGGATGAACAGTTCACAAGATTGGTACCAATATGCTCTGTGTTTTTTGCAACAGCTGATAATCTGCTTCAGCTGTTCAGCTGTTGCAGCTGCTGATTAAATGCTTTCACCGTTTGGATTCTTGCCTCATCTCCCTGCCATGCTCAACATTGAAGAAACAAAAGAAATAGAAATCCAGGAGAAAAAAAAAATAATGGAGGCGAAGTGAATGGCATCTTTTGGTACGTGACACGTAGGTGGAGTTTGGGGAGTTACAAAAGCTTTTCTCCTGTTAGATTGACTTTACAAAACCATTTGCTCTTATTTTATTTAGGGTTTTTTGGGATTCTTATATAGGATTGCTGCTGCCAGTTTAACGTTGGAGTGAAATAGGCTCAGTGACCTAAATCTCCCAAATGACATGTGACTAGAATATAAGATAGTATATTATGTGTTTTTATATAAATAGTAAGATTTTTTGTGTTAAAAAAATTAATAAAATAAAAAGTAAAGTTTCTCACCACTTAGATCATCTCTAAATGAGATGTCAAATTCAAAACATCAAATTTTAATTTGATGGTTGACCTGGCAATTTGACATATTGTTAATATTTTCCTTCTATTCGATATGCCAAAATTTTATTTTTCATTTATGTTTTTTTTAAAACAAAAATAATAAAAGTTGGGTTGTTGGTTTAAAAAGGCTTAAATGTTAAAATGGTCCATGTGTTTTAGTCATTAGGTCAATTTAGTCTATGTGTTTATCTCTGTTAGTCAATTAGGGACATTTCCATCTAATTTCTGTAAAAAAAAATTATAAATTAGTATAAACTTATTTATTTGATTTAAAATATTAAAAATGAAATAAAATTTAAAATTTAAAAAAAAAAATTTATTCTCCCCCCCCCCAACTTCCCGACCTCCTCCCTAACATTACTCCTCTCTTTTCTATGTCACAACCTTAATCGTTTTTCAGATTGAAAAGTTTATCACTTATATGTGTTATTTCTCATTGATTTTCATTTTTCTGTAAAGAGAAAGGGTAATTATATCTCATATAACTTTTCTTATGAATTTTTTAAAAGAATATGAATGAAATGTCCTTAATTGACTAACATAGACAAACACGAGGACTAAATTAGCTAAATCGAAAACATGAGGACTAAATTGGCCATAAGACTATATCACATGGACTATTTTGACATTTAAGCTGTTTAAAAATAATAAAATAATACTTAAGTATGCTAGCATTTAAGGTAAAGCAAGTGGAATGCTTTTGGAAATAACAAAATCCATATTTGAAGGCTGCTTCAAATTTGATATCTATTTGTCATGTCAACATAAACCATCTCCAAATGAGATATCAAATCCTAAGTGGAATACTATGTAATCAAATTTGAAGGTAGGAGAAAGCTTCAACCGATATGTCAATCCTACATATGAGTCTTTATATGTCAAATTTGACATATGAGAAAATGTGATATCAAATAATTTTTAACTATTTTATTGTATGGATCTCATTAATGCATCAATTATAGATCTTGAAAACTTATTTTAATTGATTTTTTTTCTTTAAAATGGATTCTACAAATATCATTTATAACAAAAAAATGTACCGGTCGAAAAAAAAGAAAATTTGACATTACCACATCAGCCATCAAATTAACATTTGACATTCATCTTTTGGCATCTCCATTGGAGATGCTCTTAGCTTTTTTTTCCACGTCAGCTTTGACATCTCAGTTTATGTGGTATTTTTGACATCTCATTTGGAGATAGTTTTATATAATAACATGTGGTGTACTACTTGTATTACGAGTACAATGAAAAATTTCTCCTATAAATGCGGCACATAAACTTTTGCACCATCTCACTCTACATTCTATCTTGCATTGAGCGGTTAAGAGCCGAACTCTAAAATGTAACATACATAATTAATGTGTGAAATATAATGCATATAATTTATGATGAGGAAGAATCTCATACATGCTAATGAAAAATCACACGATGAGCTCAATTCATATAAATAAGGTACAAATTCACTTTGAGTAACGATTCTCATCCATACTTATTAATAAGAAAACTCAAAGCATTGAGCCGAATTTTGCAATATAAAATATAAAAACTTGACGTATTAAGTTGAATTCTAAAATAAAATGTACGAAATTCAGTGTGGGTAACAATTCTCATACTTATACAAAAAGTCAAAATATTGAGTCGGGCTCTAAAATATAGGTACTAAATTCACCACGAACAATGTTTCTTATCAACTTGTACGAAAACTCAACATAAAAACGTCGGCTATACACCAATAATTGTGTGATTCTTTTTTCAATTTTCAGTGTATAGTGATCAAGTGTCATCCCATCACAAGCATAATTATTGGATTGAGAAGTTTTGGTTACAATTTTGACCGGTAGCTAAGTATATCAAATGAGGATCTCCTAGATATGTATGGAGGGTACAAAGGTGCATAGGTTTCTCATAATTCAGCATTATCAAGGGTAATAAACCATCCACATTTATTTATTAACATAGTTACAATATATAGGGTATTGTAGGGGAGAGATTTTGTTGTTTAACTTGGAGAATATCTCGCCTTCTAACTACATCTCTCATGATGAAATTTTATTTTCGATTGTATATAAAAACTTTTCTGATGTTGCTCAAGCGTCGAGACTTCTTTACGAGAACAAATTGTATTAGAATGGTTTTTTCATCACGTGGTATTCTGGTTTAACATACAATGTCATAGGGACATAAATTTACTCATAACACTGTATTACTGAATCAAAATGTTGCAGTAATAATAAATTCATTCTATATAATTCAGCTTTTGGGACCCAAGTTGTCCACATTTTAATGATCAAGACGCTTAGCAGGACCACCACGTCTGTTTTTGGAACAACCTTTCTGAAATACCAAAACAAAGCTGTAAATTTGGCATGGAATTTATAATTGTAATGGCACCAAGCTATGTTTGGGTCTGCGTTTTGGTCCTCCACCGCACTAAATAAGTTACTTCAATCAAGTATAAATCCAAAAGCTAATTAATCTTTACTTAATCTCTACCATGCAGATGCATTGATTAATCTCAGCCATCACCATTTAATCTTTTCTGGATTAACTTGGCTCCTCAAATTATGAGGTAAAATTCCTTCTCAAAATACTTTGTGATTCATTAACGAAACTTCATAGTTATGATCAGACAATTCATAGTTTTATATTATAAATAAGATGTAAAGATCATTTCTACTAAAAGACAATAAAACATAAGATCGTTTAGTGTTTAAATAGAAGTTGAAGAAAGTTGAGGTTCCATCATAAAACTAATTTGCAATATGAGAAGTAGCCCAAGTACTTATAAGCACATGCAAAGTCCCTCATATTTCCGATGTGGGATTCGTACTCTCATCACGCCCCCTCACGTGTGGTGAAGTTTCAAGCCTAACATATATGTGGACAACAGAAATTGGGTGCATGGAGACATTAGACGTGTGGCTGGTGAGTTTTCCACGCGAGACAACTTGCTCTGATTTCATGAAGAAATTGAGGTTCCACCATAAAACCAATTGGCAATATGGGGAATATCTCAATTACTTATAAGCACATGGAATATCCCTCATTTTCTAGATGTGGTCTCTCAACATTTAGTCTTCCAACTGTATACAAACAAATGGTCAAATTCGATAAAATTATTATGAACTATTTAGTTGTTTGCTATAGTTGATTGATTAAACGACCTTAGTTGTAATTGATTTTTTGTTGAGATGCTCATTACAAATTGGTTTATAACATGAACAATTCCGATTATTAGCACGAAATTTTGCAAATTGGCAATAGCGTGTTTTAAAGAGAAGTTCCTCCACGTCATGGAGGAGCCAAGCATTGTTTTTTTTTTTTTTTTTAATCTGTTTTATCCCCATCTAAGGGCTAGTTTGGGATAATGTTGTTTTGGACCCATGATTTAGATAAAAATCATTTTTTTTATTTACCAAACACAAATTTAATCCCAACTTTTTTCTAAAAGCTACTTTTAAAATAATTTTAGTAATACCAAATCAGCCTTAAAATTGTTAACTATGAGGACAGCTTCATTTACTGACCACTTTGGCTTTTTATGAAAAAAAAAATTAATCAACAAATTAGAGTAGGTGATCCGTATCATATTAATTAATAAATTAATTAATCCCAGATTTAAAGTGTAAAATGCCTGCTTTCAGATTAGGGATTTTATTATATAATATATATATATATATATATATATATAATAGCTCCTTTTTGCTCCTTAAACTTTAAGATCCATCTCCTTACATACAAAGAATAAAATGGGTCGAAAAGCTCTAAAGCATTGATCTTTTTCTTTAGGAAATTGAAAAAATCAGCAGCAATCCTTGCAAAAAATCAGTAGCAACCTCTGCTAATGACCAATCACAACTGAACATGTGTTCAAGTTGAATTAAAAAATTAACAATTTAGGCACATATCCAGCTATGATTGATCATCAAGAGAGACTACTGCTGATTTTTTAGCTGTCAAGTCCCGTTCTTTTCTTTACGTTAAAAAGCAAATAACTTATATTAGAGTAGAGAAACTGTTGAAGGTGGTCGTGCATGTTTGGAAAGATACCAAACAAGTCACTTTTCAAAAGTCCAATCTGAATCCACCCATGCTCATAATAATACACGAATAAAGACCATAGATATTAAAACTTCGTAAAATTAAGTGTCTTTTGAGAGACAAATTTACATGCAACCAAGTAATGAGACAATTATTCTTACAATGCTAATACTTAACAACAATTGTGATCACTCCAGAACAGAATATGTATTTCTCCTTCTCAAGCCCTTTTGAAGACAAATATGTGTCAAGTAATTGTCATATTCACTAAATAATTAAAATGAAATGTTTCATTCATCTAGACAAATATAAATATTCTTCTCAAACGAAATCTCATAATCTCATCAGTATTCACTCTTGTCTAGTCATCAAGTTATTTAAAACAATTTGTTTTTATTTTGATGTTCATTACGAGCTAAATATGATGGACTCGTTTACAGATTTCTATATTTATACTTAAAATTTACTTATTTATCAACATTAAAGGTTGCTCAGAGCAATGAGCAATCATAATGTCACAAAATTAACCCTGCAAGACAAAGAAAGATAATCATAA